GCCCTGAGTTGCTCAGCTCGGTCTTTACACAGCCCGGCATGACCAATATTTACCGAGCGCTCACGCTGAGTGGCCCTGCGCGTCCGTGACCAGGGAAAGGAGGCTCAGAGCAGTGAGAGAACCTGCATTGGTGCCCCAGCCTGAGTGGGGCTGAGCTGGGAACCTGTGCAGTCTGAGCTCAGAGCCTGTGCTCTCCGGTGCTGCCTCCAGGGCCCCCGCAGGTGAGTCAGCCACCCACCCAGTCACTTGCTTGCTCTGTTGGTTGATAGGTAGGTCGGTTGGTCACTCACTCGTTCTCTGAGTCACAACTCACCCACTCATCAGCCAGTTACACAGTCCCTTGTTCTCCCATGCAGTCGTTCACTCACATACTCAGCCACTCGCTTGTTCTGTCAATCCATCCATCTGACAGCCCTTTCTGCTGATACACAGACAGCCCGTCAGCCTTCCCTGTCTTTTGCACTTTCAATAAATGCACCATCGTGTGCAATTTCTCCCTCCTCACAAAATGACTTCAGAGACTCACGCAGCTGTGTGACACATGCTCACTGCTGCCCAGTACTCCATTGTATGAACAGATCAAGTGAGAACTACCCACCCCAATTCAGGCCGCTTGGATCGGATCCAGGCCTGTTGGGAATGATGCTGCTATGAATATTTTTGCCCAAATCTCTCAGTGGGATTTGCCAAATATCTCGGGTGGGATGCCTGTGTGGTGGAGCGTGTGAATGTGCAACTTCACCAGAGCGTGCAAGACATCACCCAAACTAGCTGAAGCGACTGACCCTCTGCCAGCAGTTGCACCCCAGCCTTGCTACCTGTGCTCTTGCTTAACCCCTTCCAATACTCGGGGAGAGGTAAGGTATCAAGATGGGAAAAGCTGCATTCCTCTCATCAATAAGGGGTGGACGCTCCATCGTGCTTGCTTTCTCTCTTTTCATCCTCATTGGCTTATAGGAAGGGCCGGAAACATCCTCTGTAAAGGGATAGGCTTTGGGGTGGGTGTGTTTTGCCTCTGGGCTCTTTGGTCTCTGTCACAACGACTCAAGACCCAGATGACTCCTGGAAAAGCTGCCAACAAATGGGTGTGACTGCGTTCCAATCACACTTGATGACACAATCAGACCTGGCTTGTGGCCCCGGAGTGGGTCAGCTTCTGATGGACGGGTTTTTTTTGATACCGCTGACGATGAAGATGTCGTTCAAAGAGTGTATGGCAATTCTGATGGACATAATTTTAATGATGCCTTTTTTTTTTTGAAAACAGGAAACAAAATCTGCGTTCCTGT